CCCCCCCCCCCCCCCCCCCCCCCCCCCCCCCCCCCCCCCCCCCCCCCCCCCCCCCCCCCCCCCCCCCCCCCCCCCCCCCCCCCCCCCCCCCCCCCCCCCCCCCCCCCCCCCCCCCCCCCCCTTAAATTAAAAGATCATCTCTCGTAATAGGGATTGAGCCGAAAACTTTATTTATTTTGTTTGTGATATATAGCATTTCTCGGACATCTTTAACCGATATACTTACAACTTTCTCTCGTGTACAATATAATTTCTGGGATTTTACAATATCAGATTACTTTCGAATTTGTTCAAATGAATAAATGCGTAAGGGGAGAGGCACAGTGGACGTTTTTCCATAGAGCAGACGCACATCTTGTTTTTCTGAGTTAAAAATGATTATTTTCGCATAGTATGGTCTCATTATACGTCAGATATTGATAAGTGTAAGAAATCGAAATCTTTTCTTCGATAAAAAGTTACTTAGGAGGACCCGTGCGCTGAATTCTTGTCAAAAAATATTTTATTTGTAAAATTAATAAGTTATACAGCATTCGGTGTAGTTTTTTATGCTGATCCTAAATATTACATTAATTTTCAATAAAAGTGTTTCTCGGCTGAGAAAAATGGAAAACGCCTCAAAACACAAGGTTTTTGGAAAAACCTATAACTCGACTTTGATAAATATGTGCATTTTGTGCATTCACAATTGATATAGGGAATGACGCCGAATATTTTGGTATACTATTGAGTTGGATTGGACAGGGGGAGAAGTCATTGCAGGATGAGAACCGCTTTCGAAACAGATTAGTCTGAAAGTCGAATTTTTTCTCCGATTTCACATCATTCGATAGTTCGTCCATTCAACTACAGGTGATACTATTTGAAGTTTGAAAAAGCGTACTGTCGATTTTTAGTTAAATGGATGCCCACTGTGAGGGGAGGGAACGGGTAGCCACCCCGTTTTTTTTCATAACTTTGTAGAGCGCATCAGGCTGTATACTCCCTGATGAGTTCGATGAACAGACTTGTAATTGCTGAGAAAAGAACATTTTACGAATTTCAGATGATTTTGATCCTCTATTTAAAAAATTTATAAAAGATTCAAAATTAAAGGTGGAACTCGTATTGTTACGCAGTTCGACAGCGCACATTAAGTGACATATACCCACAAATTATAATGAAAATTGAACCTTCTATGTCTGAGAAAATTAGCAATTTTCATTCTAGTGCAGTTTGAGCCCTAAAAGTAATCTTTTGAAAATTATGCACGCATTTTCAAAACAACGAAGCATTTTAAAGAAAACTTTTCGCTTATAAAGTTGTTCAGGATAATCCTCTTCATACCCTAAGCGGAGTACTTTATTTTAGTGGGCAAATTTTGAAATAAATGCAATTTACATAAATTCTTAAATTAATGTACAGATCAACATTTTTTATTTGTAGTTTATTTTAAATTTTCTCACTAAAATGAAAAAAGTGCTCTGCTTAGGGTATGAAGAGGATTATCATGAACAAGTTTGTCAGCGAAAATTTTCCTTCAAAATGCTTTGTTGTTTTTGAAATGCGTGCATAAGTTAGTGCACGAGGTAATGGAAAAATCGAATTTCCATGCTAGAGCGACTTCACCCGATATAGGTTTTCACTCGGTTTTGAATTTTTTTCGTAAAATAAACATTGCCACGAGACTCAGTGTGATAGATACCCCATATTTCCATTCATTTTCGAGATGACCGCAACTAAGGAAATATCGATCCTGAAGCTTCTAGAAAATCCGTCTAAACCACAAAAGATTAAGGCATCGCTTAATTTCCATTTTGTAGAGAATATTTTAGAGTATCATATCCACATGAGAAATACAGGGGTCACTCTGATAGATCTTGCTTAGATAAGAAAAATTTTACTTGGTTGTCGAAAAATTCAATTTTTATGAATTCAGTGTGAGGAACTCTGAAATTGGACCTGTACTTTGTCATTTTCTCGATCAAAACTCGACGTGTTGACAAAAGCAAGGTCATGTTTAGATTCAGTGTCAAGAACCGGGTCGAATGTCATTGATGCCAGGAGTTTTGAATGACCTCGAAGTTTTTCGTTTTTTTCAAACATCCAAAACCAAAATTTTCGCTCAACTCCAAATATTTCCCAAAACACTGAGATTCATGTCATTCGATCCAGTGTAGGTAGGACATAGGAAGATACAGTTAGTGGAAAAAATGTTCGTAGGATGGAGGACAAAAAATTTCTAACGCTCTTGAAGCTAGAAGGATAGGAAGATTTATTTCTTATCAATCGACAGCTCTAACGAAGCATCCTATGGACATGCCAAACTCCGATTTCGTTCGTTCATACATCAATCGATATAGGATATCGACGTTGTTAAAAGCTACAAAGGATCTGTGCCGACGTCTTTTTCTTCAGAAGTTATGACCGTTTCTCTAGATTTTCAGCGAAAGATAGAAAAAATAGAAAAATTCATAACTTCATTCTAAAAAGTCGTATACATCTGAGTTTGTTTTTGATAGTGGTGATAGAGGTATACTATATGTGTTGAAAGCTTCAGACTTCCACGCCTCTCCATTCCTAAGTTACAGAAGTCTACAATGGAACAGACCGAACCTGTTCAATTTACAATACGCGAGTGGGTATTCAACGAGCATGGTCTAGTCATACAACATTCATTGTCAATGAAACTAGTGAGCCACTAGTAGCTCCAGTACAACCACGTATGTTTTATTCAATAGAGAATTGAGCTTTTCTAATACATTTGTCTTATTTCTTTAGCTGATCCGAAATGGACAAATGTAGGCAATATGTCTGTTCAGCGTATGTATCACTCAGCAACACTGCTCAGTTCGGGTCGAGTATTGATTGCTGGTGGATATAATGGTACTGCAGTACTTTCTTCATGTGAACTTTACATTCCGGAAAACGGAACTTGGATCATGACCGGATCGATGCCTTCTGTACGCGCTCATCACACAGCTACAATTCTATCGGCCAACAGTTCTGTTACCGATCTTGTTTTTGCTCTTGGTGGAGTATCAACCATTGGAAACACTCCTCTGTCAACTGTGGTATATTATAATTCGTCTTCAGGCATTTGGACGACTGTAAGCAGTATGACCGAGGCACGTTATTACCATACAGCCACTCTACTCATCAATGGCCGGTTACTGGTGACGGGTGGAATTGGTACGTCAAGCACTAAATTAAGCGCTTGCGAAATATTCGATCCAATATCTCTTACTTGGACCACTGTCAGTTCGCTCAACTATGCGCGCTATCAACATATGGCTGCTAATATTGGTACACATGGACAGGTACTTATTACAGGTGGTGGCGACTTGGTGAGTATTATTCCATCAAGTGAAATCTTTAATTTCACTTCACAAACTTGGTCTAATACAATAAATATGACAATTGAACGACAGTGTCATTCAATGACTTCATTAATGCCACTATCATCACTCATTGTAATTATCGGCGGACAAATTAACTGGTCAGTCACTTCATCCAGTGAATTATACAATCCTTCATCGAATACATTTACATTCTCGGGCAATATGACTAATCAACGATGGTATCACTCAAGTACATTTATGTATATTGGATCTACACCTACGATACTTGTTACTGGTGGATATAATGTATTAAATGTAGCAATTAACTCAGTTAATCTCTTTAATACTGCCACTCTAACATGGTCAAATACTACTTCAATGAATAGTTTTCGAGCAGAACATACAGCAACATTACTGGCTACAAATGCATCCGTATTAGTCACAGGTGGTCGATACAATTCATCATCAAAACCAATGAACACTGCTGAAATCTTCACTATTGCTTGAAAGTGATCATTTTTATTGTATTGCGTCCATGAACATTATAGATTGACGTATATATAATACGAATGAAAAGAATAAACATATAACATTCGTGCCGGTTTCACGATTGTCTAATTGGATTACTCTCGTTTCGTCCCGTATTTGTTAATTAGCTCTCGTTTCGTCCCCTCTCGTTTCGTCCCGTTTACATTTTCTATCATTCTACTCATTTTATAACTATTCATTTTTTTCTATCAACTGTATACTAATCAATATTAATATAATTTGATAATTGATACATGGCTTTATAAGTTA